TTTTTTTTCACTTTTTGACTTACTGGTTTCAAAATCAGCGTTATTCTGAATCAGCGCAAATCGAGGGTTACCTGTAATTGTCTCACCACCAAACAAGTGTGCAAGTGCTTGGATGATCACTCTTCCAAAACAGCATAAAAACCAAACAAGAAAGGGGCACAGGCCATAGCAATATGAAAGAAAGTATAACTATAAATTACTTTACTTCCTTCACTACCAAAGTCATTATAGATACATAAATACAATTAATAGTGAATTAAAATAAAGTCCTAAAATTGCAGCTGTATTCAGAGATATTTATGTAGGTAACACAAAATTCAAACTTCGGTAGAGGCATCACCATAGAAATTATGGTTTTCCCTTCTGGGACATGTGTTAAAACTCCATAGTCTGAATGATATATCTCGGTTTATGCTTAAAACAGGCGAGAAAGGAAAGAGCACTTTCTAGAGCATGGATTCCCACATACATAAAAAAATATCAGTTGTACCATTATGTCATGAAACAGCTGGTATTGTCTTCTATAATCCCATTCTTCATTCAACGAAGTGTTCCTTTCTGTTCCTGCTAACAAATTCATTATTATTATTTTTAACTCATCATTTTTAGTAATAAATAGAAACAAGTAAAACATGTTATGAAAAGCTCAATCTTAGTGAAGTGAACAAATGTATAGATAAAGGGAACTCTCAAGAAATGGATTTTTATTAAATATTATATTGGCAACCCCTGAACATTTAAATAAACTTTTATGTTCATTTCATTAAGTAAGAAGTAAATAAAATGTGTCATCTGTAAAAGTTAGAGGATATAACACTATAAAACATTTGTTTTTACTAGTTCCAAATTACTGAAATTATATATTAAATATATGTGAACACAATTTACTAGAATGTAACCAGTACTTAGATAAACATTTCAGAAATGAAACTGTAATACCTTGGAAAGAAGTATTATATTACACCAAGATTTATTCTTAATAAAGCTATCCCTTTGTCACTGTCTGAATTGTCCAGTATCATATTCTTACATGTTTTGAATGTATAACATTATTTTGAACTTTCAAATTACTGAATTTTCTGAAGTACAGCATTACATTTTACATTTGTGGTGTCTTCTATGTTGACTTATGCAGAAACTGGTCATGATATTCACATTCCTGTATACTACACTTCAAAGAGAAGGCGCCACCATATCGAAAGCAGATTTAGGATAAGTGACAGAGCTGGGGTGACAGATGTTATCATTTAACAATTACACACTTTCAAGGAGGTAATGTTTGCTTCTTGGCTCTCAGAATGTTGTATCTTGTGCTCTGTTTAATCAGTAATCACTTCTTTCAGAATGAATTGTATGTCCCTTGCATCGAGTGTTCAAGATTTGGTAGAATGTATACTTTTTTAAACAAATACTGCATTCATAACTCTGATGAACAAAAACTAAACCTGTTGGTTTAAAAGTGGCACTTGTTAACAATCATTGATAGTATTCTTCAGATTCCCTCACACATGGATAGTGTAGTCCTGCTTTTCCCTGTCTCGTTCCTGTCGATACCTGCAGCATAAAGGTAATATTACAGAACACCGGGGAATAAGCAAATTGTAAGACATATTTTTCTAAAATCAAATAATACATATTGAGCAGATATGAAATTCATGTACAGTACATGTTATTGGTAGAGGGACATGAAATAAGTTTGTAAGAATGACTGACAAACTGACAGGTTTAGTTATAATTACATTTAAAAGAGCAAATGATTTATTTTTCAAACTGAAACACAAGTGTCATGCAAAATATGTTCGATCTTGCTTAGTGTGACACTGTTCACAGTAACAGACAGATACTTAGAAAGCCAGTACATCAGTATCTACATCTTAACATGTGAACTGCTCAATCTATGAACATTTCATTACATGGGTGGAGTGGATTGCACATTTTAATTTTGCAGGAGTTAGACTGGTGATAATTATGTAGTATTATTTACCTTTGCAGTATACTATAATTATGCTTGTCTGCTGTAATAATTTACTGAGACAACTGCACAAACAGTGATGAGCTACGAGGGGCAGTCAAAAAGTTCCCGGAATTGTGGTATAGCACTGTAATGGTAGGACATATGGCAACGCTTACCTAATCACCTTCAAAGTAGGACCCTTGCGCACACACACACTTGCTCCATCGATCCTGCCATTGTTGGAAGCACCGGCGGATGGCTTTGTTTGGAATCTTCCGGAGTTTGGCCGTCGCATTCGATTTGATGTCCTCCATGGTTGCGAACTGTGTCCCCTTGAGGCCCATTTTCAGAGTAGGGAACAGCCAGAAGTCACACGGAGCGAGATCCGGAGAGTATGGTGGTTGGGTGATAACGGGAATGCTTTTCTCGGCGAGGAATTGCTGCACAACCAGCGATGTGTCGAATGCGACGGCCGAACTCTGCATGATTCCAAACAGAGCCCTCCGCTGGCCGTGGTATATATTTGACTTGCTACAGGTAATTTTACCTTATTTTGCATTCCGTTTTGTAGAAAATTGGATGACAAGGTTTTGTCTCCTGGCAGGATATTTGAAATTTATCTCTTCACAGTCATGCCCAGAATGACCCTGAAGCTAACTGTATTCTTGTATCACTTGTGGTCTGCTGGGTTGTGACACAATGTTTAGTAGAAAAGTTAGTAATTACCCACACAACCAGATCTTTCATCTGATCACACATAAAGGTCAATAGTCTGTGGTGTTTCACCTCTGTGTTAACTTCCTTGTGATGAGGTGCTTAGATTTAATTGAAATTTGATGTTGGGGGGGGGGGGGGACAGAGCTATCAAGAAAATTCAATGTCTATTCATATCAGTCAAATTAAAACCCCACTTACAAAACAAACTTTTACCGTTTTAACCCTTGATGCTAAGGCTCATCTAATATTCAAAATTATTTTATACTGCAAAGATAAGAAAATATTGCTAATGATCAGTTGGTTAATGCCAGCAAAGGAAATAATTGCTGTTTACCTGAGAATCATTCATCCATGAATATACTTTGTGGTAAAAATTCAGAATTATAGACTGTTAAAGCGAGTGGTACATATACTTACGACTGGACTTTAAAATGTTATGTTCTGAAACTTTTATTTAGAAAATTTTCAGTGTGGTAAATAATAAAATAAAAAATAGAAGAAAAGATCATTTCTGACTTTAGGTAGTATGAAAAGCTTTGCAATGTATCAGCAATGTGACTACAGGTACTTATTTATTTATTGAGGAAAATACAATTCCTTAAATGGTAATTAATTTTTAAAGCACCGAGTTCCCCAAGGGTCAATTCTAGGACTTATTTTTTATAATATGCATAAATGACCTACCTCCAACAATAAATACTTTAACAGAACGATGACACAAGTATCACAATTTCTAGTAAGAAATTTGATGACTTCATCTAACACCAAAACAATGTCCACTTTATAAAAGAAAACTCGCATTAATGGCTGGCGTCAAACACAGACATTCTCTTCCATATGAACAAATATTCTCATTAATGAACTTCATTGTGAATAACTAATTATGCTGTACACAGTGTCAACACAAGGAGTAAGAATGAGCTTCATAGACAAATTTTCAACCTCTTCTATTTCCAGAAAAGCTCATTTTATGTAGGCATCAACAATTTCAATAGTCTATTATCAAGTATCACAAGACTAATAAATAAAAAGGCACAATTTAAAGTAGCATTAAAATGACACTTAATTACACGATTCTTTCACTCTGCTGATGAATTTCTAATGTTTACAAATAACTAATACGTTTCTCGAGGCTTTCTTGACTTTATATATGTATGGGAAGTATAATTTATCAACTATATGTAATGAGTGGAAGTATTGTTTAACATATCACCACTTTATGTGAACTCTTTGTTTATAATATGTATTGTATTATTATGACTTATTCCACATCCTATTATCTGACAAACATATGTATCCATGGAATGTAATATGATTTATTTCAATGCATTATATAATATTAATTTAAAATTTAATTTTTCGTTATATGAATGATGACATGATATATCAACCAAGTGGTAAATAAAAAAGATGACCAACTTCAACTTCATCCTTTCTTATTCCTACTGAAGTTGAACATTATACAATTAAACATACCACACCACTGTTAACACACTGAAATATTGTTCATATAAACAGACAAGTACAACTTTGTGCTTTGTATTACTAGCTTAACATTTCAGAAGTCATTACAAACCTTTTGACAAGAGTGGATAGTTCCTGTTCTAGCTCCTCATGGCGGAACAGAGGAAGGGCAGCAACATTATTCCGACCAGATGCTGCTTCACGATCACATTCAGCCTCAGACAGCTCCTGTCCGTCTGAGAAGCCAGATGGAGGTTGCAGAGGAACCACCTCCTGACACACTATACTGCCTCTAGTGTTCTGTCTGCAATATATTTTAGAGTCAGCAAGGCATTCAAGTTTGTACTGAGGTGAATGCAGATTTATATATTTTGGTATTGGTTTCCACATTTTGTTCTGATATAATACATTTATTTATGACAGAAAATTTGTACAAGAAATAGATTGTGGAGTATATAACTAATATATTTGCTGAAAACACTGGCTCATAATTTTCTTCCTACAAGGTTAATTTTCATTACAAGATACGTAGTTGATGAAAGACTCTCAGGCAACAAGCCACATCAGGTGGCTGAATGGTAAATTAACCATTTCTTCTTCCAACGTTATACATCAAGATATGTAATGTAATAAATGGCTTATTCCATATATTAGTTGAGTAAGCTGAGCTACGAGTGCAGGTAATTTTGATTTGTTCATTCTTCTCTGGTTAGCATTAATGCCACAACTTGATGGCATCACAGTGATACTACTCTAGATGAAAAACAAGGTGACCATTTGCTATTTGTTTACAGTGTTGTAGTTTGGACCTAGAACCATTTTCTTACGTAGACTTTTATGTGGAACCATAGAACCATCAGTGGTGTAATTTTTATATCCAATTTAGAGAAAATTAACATACATGTTGAAACATTATTAGGGGCACTATGGATGGCAAAAACCTTCCTTCAGAAACTAGCTCAAAAATCAAGGATAGTGCCACACCTACATAAATTATGTAGTTATTAAAAGAAAAACAGCAGATAAGAAACACAAGTTCACAGAACAGGCAGAAGAGACAGTAGAACTGGAAAAACACCAAGCATAATTCCAAAGAATACTTGGTTGATATTTATTTGAAAACAAATTATTAAGGAGATGCTCTTATTTGTAACATGTTTCATCCCTATGGATGTGGAGTTGAGAACTGGTCACCATTCTTAAATATGACATCACACACTAGATATTCCACAGTAAGAATGTGAATATGATGTCAAATTTCATGCAGAGAGCTATGGCTTCACGCCATCACAGCACCTACTTGCACTACCTGGATGGCGTCCCTCTCCGCGCCATCACACCACTGCGTCGCACTCTATGGTTCACTTCAGGTGAAGCTTCTGCTGATTCTGTGCTGGAATCCAATTCAAATACTGAATCTGCCGAAAGAACATAATATTTTATGTTTTCATGGATATGTGAATATAAATAATCTTCTGGATTGTTGTGCCATATAGCATTACAGTTGTGTGCCAATGTTTCAGAGGAAAGTTCTGCCTCCATCAACAAGGCTGAAGTGAGAAATGTTGGGAAACAGATGTTTCATATATGGATGGGATATAGAATTATATCTGGGCCAATAGGAATGAACGATTTTAGGCACACTAAAAGAGCATGGAAAAAATCTTGTTGGAGAGAACTGTCTTCATACATTCTTTCAGGGCATGAATGAGGGGTTGCCATGACTCATTCAGGGAGAATACGTTCTCTCTATTGAAGTCATCGGGATGTAATCTAATCCCTACTGTTTCCTCTGAAATACTGGTACAGTCAAAATATTACAAGGCACAATAACTCAGATCACTCTCTGTAAGCATGATCTCATCTAGTATCTGTTTTAAATGCTTCCATCTGGTGTGGTATGTGAATAACATGTAATAGAAAAAACAGAAACCCTCCTGATAGTAATTACCATTCATTTATTTGATCCAGTGACACAAAATCACCATATTTACTGAATCATCATGTGCAGAATTCTATGGTCTGTTGGTAAATACAATAAACATTTGAGAAAATTCAGGTCATATGGAGGATGTTCCAAGACCCCCCCCCCCCCCCCCAGTGTTTCTATTTAACTCTCACCTCTGATAATCACCATGGACTTACTTCTAAAACCTCTCTAGCAGGAAGGAAAAGAAAAGACTCTTCATTAAAATAAATTAAAACTGAACACAATAAACACACTATTCCATAAAAGGTAATTTTTATGTTGCAAGAAGGAAGAACTGGAATTATTGAAACTTTCTGTGCTCATTCTGCAATCAGAGCACCAAAACAAAACCTAATTATTTTTCCTTGTGGTAATATTTTCTTCACCATTCTTTGCACTGTTATGTTCTGTCATCATAAGGATGTACAATCTTCAGACAAAAATTTGCTGCATTACCTAAGACCCATGAAAAATTATCTATAAATTGCAACACAGTTAGAAGAATAAATCATAAGTAACCACATTCTTAAGTAAATAGGTAACTTAAGGTAGGATTTGAACTTTTTCTAAGTGCTGTACAGTCAAGCTAACTTTACAAACTCAAGGACTTCTTTGCAGAATTTGTATTAGGTGAAAACAGAATCTTGACTTGCTCTCGATTTTTATTTTAATGTGTTATAAAAATTTCCAGGGAATAAAATGTCATATAAAGATGGTTAATTAAAGTTCACGATCCAATTTCAATCCAGAAAGCAATCCATTATAATTATAAAAAAATGTACACTTTTTCAAAGATATTCTGCATATCATTTACATGTCTCATCACTCAGAATGTTTAATCTGTGAAGGAAACAATTGGCATTTATCTTCTGTCTGTCTTCTTGGTATGCAAAATGCTGTTCTGTGCTCATATCTTTCACATATATCCATATTCTACATTTCTGTGATTACTGACCATGCTGTGGTGTCTTGGTGGTTCTATGGTTGGCAGTAGGAAGTCTATACTGGGACGAAATTGCCTTAGGCTCACTCCTCCTTGGACTTCCCGCACCACCTGCACTGCTGTCTGAGCCTGACCGTTCTCTATCCCGTTCATGGTCTGTCCCCATTGAGCAGCTACGTGATCGCCCAAAACCCACACCACTGCTGCTGCTTTGGCTCTCTTGGTGCTGGTGGTCGTGACTATGCCCACGATGTCCTCGTGGTGACTTGTTGCGACGGTGGTGACTACTTGAGCTTGATGCTGCAGCCACAGATACAGGCAGTGTCTGCTGGCTTGAGATGCATGAGATCTCTACAGATCAATGCAGCCATGTGTTATGAACAGCTTAAGCAAATTTTAATTATTTTTTATTAGAATATTGC